AGTCTCCGCCGGTCGCTGCGGCTTTTCCGACCAGAACGCTGTAGAAGATGAAATCCCCAAGGCCGAGCTTCACGCCCCCTAAGAACACATGATACACACATTAATCTGTCAGAGGGAAACCAAACACACTTTTCTTCCTTACGTCATTTTGAACAAAAACAAACCAAGAACCTAAAAGTTCAACGGTTTCCTTCCTCACAGATCAAACATGTTACTGAACTCACTGTCCTCCTCCAGCTCCTCGTCCGGACCCGAGCGGGGCCGTCGGCTTTCAGGCTCCGCCCTCCCAGCGCTCTGCTCCGCCTCCTCGTCTGAAAAGCAGAATGATGGTTAAGAGACAAAGTTGATACAATGAGCTGATCGACACCAGAGAAAACGAATCCCTTTTTACTTCATAGGTTGGCCAAGTTTACACACAAAGAACCTTTGATAAAGTTTTTAATTAAATTTGTTAAAATAGTCCAACTAAATTATTATAAAATCTGCTGAACAATGATTCTATTCCCGTTTTAAAAGACAAACTGAATTAATACTTGTCAACAAACAAATGGAATATAAGTGGATGTATTTATCAGCACATTTAAAACGTGCCTTTCGCTGTTAGTTTTAATATTCAATTTAAATCCAAACTTAAATCACTTTCTAATTTCCATTTCAGTGAAGCTGTTAAGTTGTTGATAACCAAAAGGAGCTGAGAACATCCAGCTCATCACCCTGTGGACATAAACAAGAAGTGGACAAAATAACAAGAACACATCAGAGCCTCAGGCATGTCCTCAATCAGCTGTTTCTGATCGTACAGGTGTTCTTGATATTCTGTCCATCCCTCGTTGCCCATGATTCTGTGCAGGAAACAGCTGTTGTGTAATGGTGGACCTGTTTCGTATTCAGAGCGCTGCGCGTCCACCGGGCTTGCCATCCCCACCGTCCACACCATGGCAGCTGGAGACACACACACAGAATAAACAAAGAAACAATCAGCTGGTGCACATATGGCTGAAATACGGTTTTGTTTCTCTGCATTTTACAGTTAGGTGCAAATTAAATCTTTAAATTCCCCGTGGCCTCCAGCAAAAGCTCTGTCTCTGCTGCGGCGACAGGCCACGCTTTCTCTTTAGACATCTGGTGTAGCCAATCAGAAACCAGTTGATCGTGGTTTCAGTGGTCATTATACACGGTCTAGTCACCGACCACGAGAGCCTGCGCTGATCTTGGATGACAGAATCCATCTTTTCTAATCCATAACACAGTAGAGAGCTGAAGGACTGAAATATCCAGATAACTTTAGCTGGCATTAGAAAATCCAGGATTGCCCATTTGATCTGGGATCTGTTTAGCCAAGTATGAAGAACACCCGCCAGATGAGTCTGTACTGTTGTTTAAATGCTGCCGTCAGTTTTAATCCGTCATGGATCAAATGTCCTGAGTGTTCTCACTTCATTTGGTGGAAATGCGAACAGGGACTTTCTGTTCTTTCTGGCTGAAAAGAGCTATCTGCTGTAGTGATGGCCGTCTGACACCGATGACATCTGAAGCAGAAACCGCTTCGTTCCCCTGAGTGAATCACGTGACTGGTTCAAACCAGTCGATACTGATTCGTAGCGCGAGATGCTTCCTAACGTGAAAACTACTGTTTCTAAATAAAAATCTTTGACTTTCCACCCCACTTACATAATCCCATCCTAGCACATCCTCTGTTTCCCCAAGCACGCCTTCTCCCATTTACTCAGTTTATAGAATCAACTTACCAATCAATCAGTCTTTACAAAAATGTATTTACATCATTCACACAAACCTTATTTACACTCATCACATCATTATGACACTGTTTTGCTGTCTTCTATTTTGCCACTAGATGTCACTGAAACAAAGCTTTGAATGAATGAACCCATTTTCGGGACAATTGATGAAGTGGTTCAATACTGGTTCACTGCTTCATTTGCACATCACTAATCTGCTGCATGTCATCCTCTCGACTATCGACAACGTAAAGTCTATAAAATGCTCCAGAGGTGAACAGATGAAACTCAACACAAGTCACCTCACGCATGTTTACAACAACAGACGTGTTCAGTTACTGGTGGTGTTGGCGAGATGAAGCCTCATTCAGGAGCTTGCTTTTACTACTGACTAGTGGACACACTGGGTAGCAAACAGACCCCGACATCACAAGTCCCATGGTGCACAGCACTGTTATTATGAACACAGCTAATAATGTTGCAGTCTTCACCGACAGCTGTCAGTGATGCTATACCTATGACAAACAGCTCTGTGGGCAGTAAAAGTGCTTCGGTGACCAATGTGCTTGTGTAATTAGAGTATTTATTTATGTTTATGATTTTTTAAATTTACTACTACTGTAATGTTACTAGTAAGCTAGTAAGGCTAGCAAGGCTAACGTGGATGTACTGTATATGGACTGTTCTGCAAGTGGATCAAGTTAATGCTAGTTCATAAACTCTGACACTGAATGTTTGCCCCCCCAGTCCAGGTGAATACTGAAAAACATGGGACAGCAGATGAGTCCAATCAGTGTGATTAGCAAAACAACTACCAGTGCAACTAACCAGTGCAATTTAAAGACTGTACTCCCCAAATATTACCAACATGTGAACATTCCCACTCGGGGCAAGAACACTCTGGATCATGTTTACAGTAACATTCTAATTTATTGAGATAGTGAATTGGTGGGTTTTTGTTAAATGTGAGCAAAATCATCACAATTAAAAGACCCAACAGCTTAAACTATTTCAGTCTGTGTGTACTGAATGTATATGACACACGAGTTTCACTATTTAAGTTGAATTACCGAAATAAATTGACTTTTCCACAATATTCCAATTTATTGAGCTGCACCTGTATAAACAGGCGCAAATGGTAATAGAAACAGAAGAATGTCTGTTACATCAGTCCTGCTGAGCACACATTCTTTTTGAAGTATGTAGTTTTTTCTTTTGGGCTCCTCTGTTTGCTTTTGTACACCAAACACTTCCAGTATGCGAGTGATCAGGCACCTTATACAGACACGAGCCCCAATCTTGTTCGAGGTGCACGAGATGCTACGCCCTGCATATGCTACACTTTTGGTCTATGCCACTGTGTGCATAACTTGGACTGTCGTGCCTCTAAATCTGACCAGCACAGAATCAGATATTTCAAAGCCGATCACACTGAAAACTGGCAATTTCCAATCTCCGCCAACTGATCAGTGCATCACTACATGCATTATGCTGCTGAGCCTTGTGCGTGACTTGTGTCACATTGAATGGAGTATAGAATTTCCTGTTATAGGTTAATCCTCTTCAGCGGCTCACAGATATTTGTATCATTGCATCTCACAAAGTCTGAACATTTTTTTGCTTTAAGACCACAACCATCATCCCCCTTCCCAAGAAGAGCCCGGTCACCTGCCTCAACAACTACAGGCCAGTGGTACTCACCCCAATCATTATGAAGTGTTTTGAGAGAGTAGTGCTGGCCCGCATTCAGAGCAGTATCCCGGGCACCCTGGACCCCCTGCAGTATGCTTACTGGCCCAACAGGGCCACCTCAGACGCCATCGCGGCTCCCCTCCACTATTCCCTTTCTCACCTGGAAAATGGAGACTCCTACATCAGGATACTCTTCATTGACTACTGCTCCGCCTTCAACACAGTTGAATAATATTTACTATTTAATATTTACACAATATTTACTGGCGCTGCTGAAGCAGGAAGAGAGACATGTAGGAGGAGGGCAGCAGCCATGGGAGAGCTAGTGCAGGAGTGACAGGTCAGATGAACAGCACAGAAGCTCCTATTATAGTATTAGTATAATTAATTTAAAAAAGTTATGAAGAATGACACCCCCCATGAGCAGCCAGAATCTAACTCTGTGGGAAAGACTGGTTTTACAGTAACAGTGCGCAGGACTCACAGGAGTAGATGAGGGCAGGGAAGATGGGCTCGTTGCGTTCCTGAGCCGTCTCCACCAACATCCGCAGAGGGCCTTTAGGAGACAGGACGGCCACCAGGTCTGCAACAACACAAACACCCTGAGCAAGGCATGATGGGAAAGCGGAAACAAGGAGCACTGTAAACAAACACAGACTGAAATGTCTCTGTGTTGGCAGACATGGAAAAAGTCATTTAATTCAAAACCTGCTCATCAAAGGTGGTCAGATAATCCTCCAGGACTCTGGACTCACCGTAGACAGAGATGGCTCCCAGGATGACCCAGGCCGACCACTCAGGCAGGTATTTGATGAAGACGAGGGCCATGAGGGCACTGATGAGGATCAGATAGGCCTGCTGCAGCTGGAGGGGGCCCTTCCAGTGGATGCAGATCATCCCCACTGCCCCGAAGTTCCAGATGATCACCCCCACTGTCGGGTAGTCCACCGCCAAGTTGTACGTCTTAAACACTTCACTGCGGCACAAAGGAAGACCCCAAATAATAACATGTTGCCTTAACCTGCAAGACTCTAGGGTCTCTGTAAATAATGTAGACTCTTCAACCCACATCCAACTCAAAATAAAACTGTTCCTGCAGGTTGTTGACTTGAATCGTGTCTGAGGTCAACACATGTTTTGGATCAGACTTTTCCATGGCTGAAGTTAAAATAAAGTTATTACTTAAAGTCAAATAAAGTCAAAGAGAGAGAGCAGGACTCACCCCAGGTACATGAAGCTGAACCAGAAGAGCAGCATGAGCGAGGACAGGATGAGCCAGCCGTGGATGAACTAAGCAACACAAACACATCAAATCCATCAGAGCTGCTCAGGTGAGAGCGCCCTCTAGCAGCAGAAAATTCAGCTGCACACAAAATCAGCAACTTATAAACATTTAGAAAGTCACTTTTTTTTTTACTGTTTTGTACAAATTTGCCCAAACGGTCAAGTCAAACATTTTCCACTCCAGCCTGATCGACTTCATATATCCCTTCATACATATACGTATAATTAACTTAGATCACTTCATGGAGATGTTTTCACTTTTGACATAAAAAAAATAACTAGAGAAATGGATTTTTTGAAGAAAATGCGTGTGGAGGCTGAGTGACATATTTCTTCAGAACAGAGTAAAAGGTATTATAAAGTTGTCTTTTTAATTTTTTAGCTACAAGTTTCACTCATCAGTACTTTTTACTTAAAAAAAACTTTCCTTGTGTTTTAATTGTTAATTTATCTATTCATACTGTATTAAGTCAACAGATCTGACACTGTTGTTGCTCTGTTCTTTTGTAGTAGAGCTACAGTGGTATTTACATTAACCTTTTCCTTCAGGTCCTCTGTGATCCCTCCACTTCATAGTGGAGCTTTACAAAATGTGTCTTTGTGAAGTGGTACTGGACTGAAATGGTTTCCTGCCCTCCAGCAGAGCTCAAGGTATACAAATACTGTCCAAGGTTCTAACATATTTTGTTTGATAGACTTCAGTTTATAACAGAGTCTTTCTGTTTTCTCTCATCAGGATCACCTCCATCACACTATCTCTCAGTGCCTGTTCTGTGCAGCATCAAGCTTCTCCCTAAACAAGTTTTAAAGGTATCAGTTTTATTGTTTCACTCCCTTTGTAAACAGTCAAAGAAATAACAAAAACAATGTTGAAAGTGCAGATTGCATTTATAAATACAGTTATGCCAAAAATAAAGATTCTCACTGTTTTTCTTTTCAAGGCCGCTGCCCCACTATGGCGCTGCTGTGATGCTGTCCTCACCAAACTTTGACTAGGCAACTGAAAGCAGCGTTTCAGGGGCCATTTGAAAAGCCAGAGCCAGGATCACCTCCAATATACTGTCTGACCTTCAAGCAAGTAACCATGTGAAAAGCCAAAGGTGTTTTGGTGAAAGCACTTTACATCCTCACACACACACTTCTTCTTCCGGCTGTTCCCGTTAGGGGTCGCCACAGCGAATCATCTGTTTCCACCTAACTCTATCCTCAGCATCCTCTACTCTCACCCCAGTTAACTTCATGTCCTCTTTTAGCACATCCATATATCTCCTCTTTGGCCTTCCTCTTGACCTCTTGCCTGGCAGCTCCATCTCCAACATCCTTCTACCAATAAAACCACTATCCCTCCTCTGCACATGTCCAAACCATCTCAATCTGGCCTCTCTGACCTTGTCCCCAAAACAGCCGACCTGAGCTGTCCCTCTGATGTGCTCATTCCTAATCCTGTCCATCCTGGTCACTCCTAAAGAGAACCTCAACATCCTCATCTCTGCTACCTCCATCTCTGCCTCTTGTCTTTTCCTCACTGCTACAGTCTCTAACCCATACAGCATAGCTGGTCTCACTACTGTCTTGTACACCTTTCCTTTGATTCTTGCTGACACTCTTCTGTCACACAACACTCCTGACACCTTTCTCCACCCACTCCAACCCGCCTGCACTCGCCTCTTCCCCTCTTTCCTACACTCCCCATCACACGGGACTTTCCACCCCAAATACTTAAACTCCTGCACCTTCTTGACCTCAGCCCCCTGTAACCTCACTGTTCCACTTCCCTCCCTCTCGTTCATACA